GTGTTTGCTACAGAGCAGATTGTTTTTTCCTTGATGGTTGTACTGCCTTTGTCATTTCCCTGCTGGGCCACAGGCACAGCCCCTGCCCTGGGCAAAGCAGACCTGTAGGCCCAGTCCAGAACTCCCTAGATGAATCCTACTCCTATTTAACTGAAGAAGTCAGGTCCCAATACAAGTGAGAGAGATATTACCACATAGGCATAGCCTTAAATCTGCTGTCGCCCACGATTAGACACTCATTCTTGAACACCAGTACTTGATTACTGAGGCCAGGTGAGCAATAACACAGCTCACAGGGCTCAGGCACACCCAGCACATCAGCATACCATAACATGTGGCCAAGAGCCACTGCTCTTTCACTGTTCATCCTTCCCAGCTCTCTCTCAGAGAGCCAAGGAACACATTTAGTCGGAGCCTCTGAAGCCTCTCAGAATTCTGCCTCCATGGGAGTCCCTGAGCCAGGCTCTGACCTATAGGTAACCTCCACCCCCCTCAAATCAGAGAGGGTAAAGAAGGGTGACAGCATGTAGGGATACCAGCCACTCAGCCACATCCCCACACATGCACTGCCTTAGCAGAGGGCTTCTGAACACTTTCTTGCACTAACCTCATCCCTCTCAGGCTCTGCTCCGACTTTTTACTTTATATTTATTGTTTTTATCTTTTTATTTTAGCCATCATCTCAAAATTCAGAAGGCTAGTTTCATCCTATTTATAATACAGCCTTTTAGAACCCTGCATAATACTCTAGGATATAGCATTATTCCCTTTTGGGTTAACTATATCTTTCATTTTTCCTTAATTGTATGTTGGTACTAAATTATATTTTCCCATGTCTCTTGGAAATAAAATGTTAGCTGAAAATAAAATTCATTTTTAATGTTTATAAAAATGTATTCACTGTGCCTTTTCAAGCAATCTTTACGAGTTTTGTGGTACATGCAATTTAGGGTACACTTAGTAAGTTGAAGGGTTAAAATACCCTGCGCTGTCGCATATGGCAGTGAGCAGAATCGCAGATGTTGATGATACCACGTAATTAGTATTCTTTTATGTAAATGAAGGCTGTCAGCATGTTACCATAGTGTCTACTCTCTCTGAAGCTGGAATTTATGCCACTTGGTCTCACCAAGACCAGGCAGGATTATTCCACTGTCCCTAGTTAAGAACTGAAAAAGATTATAAGACAGAAGAAATGGAAATTCCCCCAAAGGAGATTATTATTTTCCTATTTGTTTTTTTGTTGATTTCTCCCCCAGAAGTTTTATTCTGATGATGCAGTTACGCATTTAGGATCAGCTAAGAAATTTGCTACATGAGAAAAAATTGGACTAGTCCAATTAAAAGACAATCATGTATTGAAACTATAGATTTTTGAAAGTGATTCTAATATTCAGTCATCTCATACAAAGACTTTTAAAAAAAATAGGGATAAATCTAGAAGTTTCTAGAACAAAAGGCATGAATTGAAGATCTCATTACCTTTTAGTTTTATATTAGTTATATTAATATAGTAGAATGCTTTTAAATAGTGGTTATGTTTTTTAGCTCCAGTTGATCCATATTTTTAAAATATGGCAATTAAAGAAGCAAAAAGCTAATATGCTGTCAAGTTTACCCCATATGCAGATCAATCCAGGATGTGCATGACAGTTGTTGAAAGTTGCTGATCTACTTAATGATGGAGAACTATTGAGGCACAACTTGTTCTTTGCCAGTTACACTGCAAGTTTACCTCTTGGATACTGGGTGCCTGTCACACTGGGTAATGTCTGTTTTAAGTGGAAATGTTAGGACTATAGTGACCTTTGGGAATTACAAAGGAAAGGATGTACATGTCAGAAAAATGTAAAATAGAAACCTTTATGCCTGTGGATGTTAGGCCTTCTTCTTAAATAAAGTAGTTAGAGTATGTGTGAGAGGTAAATTAAACACAATTTCTTTCTTGAACAGAGTATACCTGGGTTGAGTTCTCTTTATTCTTTATTTTGTATGTTGGTTAAAGTGGCTTTTTTCTTTTGTGTCACTTTTAGGTGGCTTCTATTTCATGATCCAGAAATGTTTTTTCTCTAGAGAAGCTAGTCTGCCTAGCTTAAATCACTGTGGTGAGGTGCAAAGTAGCCCTGTGTTTTCCTGAATGGATTTACTCTGCCATATGGCAGGTTAGTGAGTCACCACGACAGATTTGTAATGGGAAAAGGGCTGTGCAGGAAAAGATGTGCGTGATCAGCAGATTTATAGATCAGAAAATGAAATCGGAAGAAAGAATTTCCAGAATGCCCTTTCCATTTAACAGCTCTCCACGGAGAGGGTGTGGAATGGTTTTTTAGTGTTTTTCTATTTTGGCTTTGGTTGTTCCAGCATATTTTTTTCTAGCACAGGAGTTGATTTTGCAAGACATCAATGCTCTGGGTGTTGTATTCCTGTTCGCAGAGATACTCTCTTTATAGGATTTGAAGCTGTGCTGTTTCATGTGATAAGATCTCAGTAACAATTAAATTTCTGAAGACATATCAAGGCTCCTGTTGGCTAAAATGGGGATTTGCCAAGTTTTGAGTCCTAAGAAGAATCTATTCAGATACGATTCAGTGAATACTGAATCTTTCGAAGGAAAGAAAACAAAAGCCAAGTGAGTTAAAGATCATATGTCCTGGTGTATTTAAGCCTGTGCTATCCAGTACTGCAGCCACTAGCCATAAGCAGCCACTATTTAAATTAATTAGAATTAAATAAAATTAAAAGTTCAGTCTCATTAGCCACATTTCAAATACTCTAGGCACACGAGGCTAAATATGGTATTAGGCAGCACAGATAAATTGTATTTCCATCATTGCAGAAAGTTCTATTGGACAGTGTTAGTCAAAGTGGAAGATTTTGAGAAAGAAAATTCTTTCTTTGATTTCCATGAGGATATCTTCATCCCTAGATAATTTACTGGATTGGTGTAGTGGTTATAAGGTTTTAATGTACAAGTGAGTAATCTGTAGGGCTTATTTAAAATGGAGATTTGAGACCCCTCCCCAGACTCTCATTCATCAGGTTTGGAGTTGTGACCAGAAATCTGTTACATATTACAAATTTCCTAGGGAATTATGATGCTGAAGGGACTACTCAGAGTGTACTAGATATAAAACTTCTCGGAGTGACTCCATAATCATGGAATTTCATTTGCTCACAGAAATGAAAGAGGAGAAGAAATGGGGGTGAAGGAAGTTCACTTTATAAGAGTGACTACCTTTAGGGAATTTCAAATATTGATACTGGGAAAGAAAAAAAAAACTTTCAAGGTTCCAAATAAAGTTTTCTTTTGAAATAATTGTCTAGCTTCTTCTCCTTGGATAAATTGCCCATTAGTCTTTTCTGAAGAACAATACCGAAGAAGCAATGTTAGGAAGACAGGAAGAAAAAGAAAAAAAAACTCAGTATTGCCACTTCTTAAAAAAGCATTTTCATGTATATCGTCTGCAAGATTTGCTTTTTTTTTCTTTTTGCTTGGTAGTTTGGTTAAACCAGTAGCCACTCCAACATTTGTCCTAAGACTCAGATCTAATTCTGTACTTACCTATACTTTCAGTAAAGAAAGCAACCATTTTCCCACCTTTTCTATAAGATGTACATGTTCTTTTCACATTGTCTTAATTCCTCTTATAATAAAAATAACCATAAATTGGGTGGCTTATAAACAGCAAACATTTTTCACAGTTCGGAGGCTGGGAAGTCCAAGATCATGGCACCAGATTCCATGTCTGGTAAGGACTCGTGGTTCATGACTGTAACACTGGCTTTTTGCTGCAGTTTTATAAGGGCATTAAAAATTTCATTTGTGAAGGCTCATCCCATGAGGGTCAACCCATTCACAACCTAATGCATCTCCTAAAGTCCCTGCCTCCTACTACCATCACTTTAGGAGGCAGGAAGGGGGTTTGATGTTTTAGCATATGAAAGGGGGTACACAAACATTCAGACCATAGTAGACCTATAAAGTGTTATTTAGATTGGGGCACTTGGCTGGTTCAGTGGGTAGAACTTGTGACTTTTTTTTTTTAATCTTTTTTTTTAAACTTTTATTTATTTATGATAGTCACAGAGAGAGAGAGAGGGAGAGGCAGAGACACAGGCAGAGGGAGAAGCAGGCTCCATGCACCGGGAGCCTGACGTGGGACTCGATCCCGGGTCTCCAGGATCGCGCCCTGGGCCAAAGGCAGGCGCTAAACCGCTGCGCCACCCAGGGATCCCTTTTTTTTTTTTTTTTTTTTTTAGAACTTGTGACTCGATCTAGGGGTTGAGTTTGAACACCACATAGGGCGTAGAGCCTATTTTTAAAAAAATATTTAGATTGAGGCTTACAGACTATTAGAGAGGTTCTTTAGACTCAAGAAAATTAAAGTGATATTTTGTACCATAGAGGACTTTCCCTTTCTTACCTTTCTTTACCTTATCCTGTTATTTCTGCTTTGAAATACATTGAAACTTAGGGTTGCCTTTTTGAGGAGGTCTTCACCTCTTTTTTTTTTTTTTTTTTTTTTTTTTTGAGGTCTTCACCTCTTACTGGTATGTGAAACATGTCTCTTCCTTGCCTCTGTCCCTTTGTGCATACAACTAGGATCTTGATCAGTATGAGATGTAGAGGCTTTCACTTCCAGGACATCATCAGTTCAGAGATGATTCAGATTACAAATTTCTTTCTCCTGGTGGCCAGTTTGGTGCAATGTGAACTAAAAGTAATGCCATTTCCTCAGGAATACAAATCAGCCTCACATAAAAATTAGCTGATATTCAAGAATCAGTACAAGCTTAGAAAATGTTTAGATTCAACTTGGTGCTAAGCCCTCCCTCCTGTATTTTTCTCTTTTTTTTTTTTTTAACTTCCTTCCAAAGGAACCAATTTTGAGTTGAAAACTAATGAACACTGAGTTGACAATGGCAGTTGCAAGCCTTTTTCTCGAGAATATTTTGCTGAAAGCTCTCTCTCTCTCTTTCTGGGGGCTCTGTCGTGCCAGGTTGAAAGAGTGGAGCCTTCTCTAAGACATGGATAGATGCAAACATGTCGGGCGGTTGCGGCTCGCCCAGGACCACTCCATCCTGAACCCGCAGAAGTGGTGCTGCAGGGAGTGCGCCACCACCGAGTCCGTGTGGGCTTGTCTCAAGTGCTCCCACGTGGCCTGCGGCCGCTACATCGAGGATCACGCCCTGAAACACTTCGAGGAGACTGGGCACCCGCTGGCCATGGAGGTCCGGGACCTGTACGTGTTCTGTTACCTGTGCAAGGACTACGTGCTCAACGATAACCCGGAGGGGGACCTGAAGCTGCTCAGGAGCTCCCTCCTGGCGGTCAGGGGCCAGAAGCAGGACCCGCCGCTGAGGCGCGGGCGGACGCTGCGGTCCATGGCCTCGGGCGAGGACGCCGTCCTGCCGCAGCGCGCTCCTCAGGGACAGCCGCAGATGCTCACGGCTCTGTGGTACCGGCGCCAGCGCCTGCTGGCCAAGACGCTGCGGCTGTGGTTCGAGAAGAGCTCCCGCGGCCAGGCGAAGCTGGAGCAGCGGCGGCAGGAGGAGGCGCTGGAGCGAAAGAAGGAGGCGGCGCGGCAGCGGCGGCGCGAGGTGAAGCGGCGGCTGCTGGAGGAGCTGGCCAGCGCCCCTCCGCGCAAAAGCGCGCGCCTGCTGCTGCACGCGCCCCGCGCCGCCGCCCCGCGCCCCGCCGCGCCGCGCGCGCCCGCCGGGGGCCGCCCGCCGCCGCGCCGCGCGCCCGCCATGGCGCCGGGCGTCACGGGCCTGCGCAACCTGGGCAACACCTGCTACATGAACTCCATCCTGCAGGTGCTCAGCCACCTCCAGAAGTTCCGCGAGTGTTTTCTGTACCTCGACCCTTCCCAGACCCAACAGCTCTTCCCCAAGGCCCCCAACGGGAAGGCCCCGCTCTCGGGCAGGCCGGCCGCCGCGGCCGCGGAGCTGTCGGCCAGGAGCGGCGGGGCCGAGGCGTGCGAGCGCGAGGGCCTCTGCTTCAACGGCGGGGCCTCCATCAGCAGGAGCCTAGAACTCATACAGAACAAGGAGCCGAGCTCGAAGCACATTTCCCTCTGTCACGAGCTGCACACCCTCTTCCGAGTCATGTGGTCCGGGAAGTGGGCCCTGGTGTCCCCCTTCGCCATGCTTCACTCCGTGTGGAGCCTGATCCCCGCCTTCCGTGGCTACGACCAGCAGGACGCGCAGGAGTTCCTCTGCGAGCTGTTGCACAAAGTGCAGCAAGAGCTCGAGTCTGAGGGCACCACGCGCCGGATCCTCATCCCCTTCTCCCAGAGGAAGCTCACCAAACAGGTCTTAAAGGTAGTGAACACCATATTCCACGGGCAGCTACTCAGTCAGGTAAGGTTGGCGCACCCTGCTCCCGACTCTGCCTGTCACGTCGCGTGGAGACTTGCTGGATAGAGTGGGCTTCCCGTGAACGCCTCCCCGGGGTCATTGGGCGAACTCGGATAGCCAGCATTTGCTGTGATGACACGTATCGGAGGGTGGCCATTGTACATTTCGCTGTGCTGTACGTTGTAATGGCCTTGTTGGTGAACTTGCCTCCTCTGGGCAGATTTTCCGTTGAATTTGCCATATCGCGTCATCTTCAGCGAATGTCTTTAACCTTCAATGACGATATAGGTAATACAACGTTCTCATTGTTAAAATTAAGAACCCCTTGTTGGCAGGCCATCCTTGATCGATTTTTAGGAAGTTGAACAGTTTGTCTTTTATAACCCTAGTTCCATAGTAGTTTGAAAGAGCCTTATTTCCTTCCAGAACATTCTTTACATACAATGAAGGGAGGTGGCTAGGAGGATGCTAAAGGCCTAAGCAAGTCCCCCTTCTGTTCCCCAGTATCTCTCATTTACTAGATCATAGGCCATGTAGGGACATAAGCAAAGACTCATAGATACAACTTTGTGAGAATGTGCAGAAAGAATTATTAGAGTTAAAAACGTGGGCACCTCTACATTATGTTATTGAGGTTTGTGTCTCAGTATTTAGGGTTTTAAAAGAATGATGAATGGATTGGGAAGAGGTTTTGTTTTATAGCGTGTAAAGGGGGAGTATTTATGGCATTTCCTCTACCCACTGTGGGTCCACAAGAAGAACCACTGGTGTATCTGGGAAGGTTACAGTAGGCGAGGAGGTCTGATCATAAGGTACTTTGAGGCTCTTTGAATACAGGGGTCTGTGTAGGGATACTGTCAGAGACAAGGGCAAAAAAGAGGGGCAAGTTGGAGTGGGTAGAAGTGACAAAGTCTGGACGAGGAAGGAGTAAGGATGAGAGAACAGACAGGAATCTGCCAATTCTCTATCTCAGACTGATCCGAGAATGGTCCTGTGATAATTTCCAGTCTGTATTGCTACAGCACTGAATGGTAGAGCATGCTTTGGGAGAGAAAGGGGAGGTGATAATCCTTGTGTGCTGTATGATTTTCCAGTTCCAGCTAGCATCATAGTTAGAAATATATACTGATAGTACTATCTCTAATGCTCTTAAGGTCACATTTAATATTTTAATATTATAATTAAACTATAAACGTAGTTTTGGCAAGTTATGTTTTTTTTTTTATGAATTGAGCAAAAATGTATGTGGGAAGCATGATGGTTATATAACCTGTAAATCAATCTGTTCATTCTAGGTCACATGTATATCATGCAATTACAAATCCAATACTATTGAGCCCTTTTGGGATCTGTCCCTGGAGTTCCCTGAACGGTATCACTGCATAGAAAAGGGGTTTGTCCCTTTGAATCAGACAGAGTGCCTGCTCACTGAGATGCTGGCTAAGTTCACAGAGACAGAGGCTCTGGAAGGGAGAATCTACGCTTGTGACCAGTGTAACAGTGAGTGCTGGGGGAATAGAGGGGGGTGGGGGGAACATTCACATGGAATGTCAGTTTACAGTGCTGCTTTTGCCCTTTTGGTCAAAAGTAACACTGATAATGTTGAGTGGTTCTAAAGCATATTTTAAAGAATTTTTTTCTCCCATCTTTCTGAAAATAAGTGTGTGGACATCATATGTTAAAAAACAAAACAAAACCTAAGAGTTGGGCTTCCTTTGACTCCTGCTGTGATTGACATTAGCTGTTATTTAGGGAGGCATTTGAAAGTGTGGATCCTGAAATAGGGGCTCTAAGAATATGAGTACTTAGCCACATGGTGCTACAAGCGTCCTATTTAAATTCATGAACATAGATCTGACAGTCCTGATTTCATCTAAAGTCAGATGTCATAGACTCTTTGAGGGTTATGGTATCAGAAGCCTGTGCCTTGTACTGAATTTGTAAATTTCAAGTCTGTCAGAATCGATGCTATAGATTGGTACGAGACCATGAAGGCAAGTCATAAGGTGCATCAGCTTCATGGTTACTTTATGCATTTGTTTTTTCACATGTCTTCACATGTCATGCACATGGGGAAGGTGATAAAGTATTTCTCTGTCATGGCTCTCATTTTAAAGTGGAACTCTCCCCATGTGGTTCCAGAGGCACCTTATTCAGAGCTCCTTCTGTCTTGCCACTCTAACATTCAGTGCTTTTACTAACCCAGCACAGCAAATACTTGAAGCTCCTGTTTGGGTTTTTGACGTATCAGGATTTGGAACTAAGATTAATGGATTGTGTAGATATCTTGAAATCAGTTTGCATCCATAAAATAGTTTGTACTTTAAGTTTTGAGAGCCACAATCTTATGATGACCCTTATTAAATTATTTGCCTATGGTCTTTTCAACTAGTGAGCCTCAGGACAAAAAAAAAATCAAAAGTCATGCTTGATATTATTCTGCCATTTTTAAACAAAAGTTGAAATGCTGTACTTGGGTAACTATAGAGTCACCTGTCCTGTTCCTTATTGAGATATAAAGGTAGTGACTTATCTTATTACAGCAGTATCTGTTTTTTTTTTTTTTTAAGTTTCTGTCTCTCTTTTTTTTTTTAATTTATTTATTTTTATGATAGTCACAGAGAGAGAGAGAGAGGCAGAGACACAGGCAGAGGGAGAAGCAGACTCCATGCACCGGGAGCCCGATATGGGATTCGATCCCGGGTCTCCAGGATCGCGCCCTGGGCCAAAGGCAGGCGCCAAACCGCTGCGCCACTCAGGGATCCCAGTATCTGTTTGTTTTTGTTTTTGTTTTTGTTTTTTTAAGGTAGTGATTCATAAAGCTTTTTACTTGTGAGGAACAGAAGGATGTTAACAGCTTTAAGTCCATCATTCTTAGACAAGGTAGATTAGGGAGGAAATACTTTTATTTTTGCAAGAAAGGATTGTTTTTCTGGTTGCCAGGTGTGCCAGTTGATCAGGATTTCTCTAGGCAAGTTCAGATAATAGCAGGGAAGGAAAGCTGTGGTGAAGGTATGGGATGCATTATTGTTGCTTATGAAGTTTTGAAACTATCAGTCTTCTCCCTCTCTTTGTGGCCACCTTAATCAAATGGAGACAGAGTCAGTAATTTCTTTTTCTTTGTGAATTTCATTTTAGGGAAACAAAAGCCGGATTCTATATTGTTTTCATGGTAGCTCACATACTCCCTCTACTGAGAGTGGCAGTCACTGCCAGGGTTCCTAAGCAGTGCTGCAATAATTTTGAAAAATGTGCTGGTGAATTAGAATGTAAAATAAGGCCAGGACTCCTTTTGAATTCTCTTTCTGTTCATGCCCCCACATATCATGACCACCAGGCCTAGTAAAAGGTTCTGTGACACACCCATTCTGCTGCAGTCCATTATAAGAACCAGCAGCTCCATATCCTATTGTCACAGGAAGCCCCGTGAAGCATCCTCTTGTTGTGATTTCCTGCCTTTCATGAGTGGTATAGACAGGACTTAGATGGCAGGCTCTTCAGACACTGAGACCGTGATATCTCAAAGACAACGGTTATCACAGTGGACCACTAATTTTATATTCCCATCCATTCACCAATCTAATTAATAATCGAGCAGTCATTAGTAAATGGATATAGAGAAGGCTTCTGATGGAAATTAAGAGAACTTTATTTCCATTGTTTATTTGATGTAATTTAGAAATGCTTTCCTCTCACAATTTGGTATTTTTAGAAACAAAATTAGTCTGAGCACTGGTTCTTCTTTGGACTGGATGAATCTGGCCAGCCTTTGTCCACCTAGTCCTCCATGTCCAGCAGTCTGCTTTTATCCAAAAATTAGGTACAGCATAAAACTATAAAGCCAGTTTCTTTTCTAAATATTTGTATATGCCGCAAACAATTCATGCTGAAAAAAAATCTGTTTACATATCCTGTCCTTTGGTAATCCTGTGTCGCCTTACTTTTTTCCTAAGCCTGAAATACATGATTTATTCCCCATTTTACAGAAGAAATGGAGGTTGAGAGTTTGAACAGCATACAACTAGCTGTGAGCAGGAGATAGAATTAGGCCTACCTGATGAAAACAAAAACGTTTAAAGTTATATTCTGGTGTGTCATAATTTAAGTGATAAACCCACATATATATAGGCATAGAACCCTAATGTGCATCTATGCTGCATGCATGCTGTTGCAGTGACCCTTCAGTATATTCCATTAATAAATCCATGATATCAGGAATATACCACCCTAAACCCATACCAGTTTTGGAGGCTACTGATGCAAAAATTTAGAAGTGGATATATCAGGATTGGGTTTGGTTTTTCATTTAACTCAAATAATAATGACCTAAAATAAGATACAGGGGTTTTGTTTTTTTTTTTTTTCTGTTTTATAAAAGAAGTCTAAAGGACATTCAGGTGTTAGCACAGTATCTGCACGGCCATTGGGGATCCAGGCTCTTTCCAACTCTTTTCAGCTTGACTAGTTCAAGGCTTCTATCCCCAAGGTTATCTCATGGTTGAAGAAGAGCAGTTGCAGTCATCGTAAGAGTGCCCCCACACAATCATCCCTTTCCTCTCTGGCAAAAGAGCCGTAGCCGCACCAGGAAGGCACGGGGGGTTGGGGGGCGGGGTCCGCTGAGAAATAGAGTCTGACAGAGGGTCACAGCACTGCCCCAGATGAAACTGAGGTCCCAGTACTGAGAAATAAGGAGAGGGCATATTGGGTGGCAAGTCGTCTCACCATAGCTAGGAAAGAACAAGACTCCTCACGACCTATGTCTTATACCTTCCCAAACCATATAGGCAAACGACGAAAATCCAATCCCAAACCCCTTGTTCTGAGTGAAGCTAGAAAGCAGTTAATGATCTACAGACTACCTCAGGTCCTCCGGCTGCACCTTAAAAGATTCAGGTGAGCTTGCTCTGGGGCCTCCCAGGTGGTTGTGAGCTTGGGGATATAGCTGCTTCAAAGGCTTTGGTGAGGGCAGATGTCTCCTTTGGTGTTGGGAAGGGAAGCCTGTTCCCTAGAGACCTTGCATGTTCCATGGAGATGACATGCTTCCCGCCCAGGAAGGCATGTTAACGTGGGGGCCCAGGACAGGGCTTCAGCTCTCATGGCCCTGTTTCATCAGGTAGCTCGCGCTGGGTGTCTGTTGCTTGAAAATTCTCTAGCCTCACCTGGGCTTATGTAAAGTCATCTTCAGAACCAAGAATGACATAGTCTGTGAAGAGAAGAGCAGGCAGTAAACTACAAAAAGATTATCGCCTGAACTGCTTGTTTTAGGGACTTCTAGTTTCAAAGTATGTCACGGAACGTTCACAGGAAATACATGTGGACACTGATCACTGTTTTATTGATGCAGAAGCCAAATCTGAAAGGTTACGTTTTCTCGGTTCCTTGTTTTACCTTCCTTTACCTCGGATAGCATATGCCATTTTTTTACTATAAGAAACTTCTATCCCTGTTTTAGGTGGTCTGGCCGTAATCATCGAGAGAAGATTGGGGTCCATGTCGTCTTTGACCAGGTATTAACCATGGAACCTTACTGCTGCAGGGACATGCTCTCCTCTCTTGACAAAGAGACCTTTGCCTATGATCTCTCCGCAGTGGTCATGCATCACGGGAAAGGGTTTGGCTCAGGACACTACACAGCCTATTGCTACAACACAGAGGGAGGTGCGTGCGCTTTACTCTGTGGGGTGGGGGACACGGAAAAGGGTTGGTTTGTCCACATTCCATCACTTTCCTTTTATGTCATCTATAGGGGGATATTACATACATTAAAATCTAGTGGAAAGAATTATGAAAGTTGGATTCAATTTTTGGATATAACACCAAGTGACAACATAAGATTGTTCTAAGAATTGACAGGAACTGACACATGTAAAAGTACTTAGCACAGTTCCTAGCACATAATGCTCAGTTAATGTTTGAGGCTTCTCATGATTCTTAATACTTCTACAGACCTCCATTTCCATCGTAGTTATGCAGAAATGCTATGACTCTTATAACCTCATGGAGATACTGTATGAATCTCACTAGCCCCAGCTCACGATAGAGCTGAAGCCATTTCCCTAGTACTTTCTATGTCCTTACCACCTCCCTTACTGTGGGAGGTGTGGGGATACAAGGGCCCCTTCCAAGGAGCTTTCAGTCCTGGGCACCCCAAACCAGAGCCTCCCAGCTACTGCACTGAGGAGGGTGGGCTTCAGCTGTGTTTCTCATAACGAACCCCTTACCCCTCAAGGTAGCTGGGGTGGAATAACTTTTTATTCCTTCTAAATTTCCCTTCATCACTCCTCCCCATGTACATTTCACCTGTGCTCCTCCTCTTCCCATCTCTTAGCCCGTCTTCAGGCTGCCTTTGTAGAGGGCCCTAGTAAGCAATGAAAAAGCCTGGTTAAAATGAGGACAGAAATTACAGCCAGTCGATACTGTAAGCAGTATTTTGGTGGGCTTGGGTGGAGTTGAAGCCAGCCGTCACAGGGAAATCTATTGGTTTGTTTACCCCACCACCAGCACCACCAGTCAGGGGTTGGCTCTGTACAGAACTCCTCTGTCCCTTTCTTCATCTCCTGGTTTTGCCTGCCAATTGGAAATACAAGTGGGGTAGTCACTTTCTCTCTTTCTTTCCTTTGGTTTTCCTAGGTTTTTGGGTCCACTGCAATGACTCAAAGCTGAATGTATGCAGTGTCGAGGAAGTGTGCAAAACTCAAGCCTACATCCTTTTTTACACTCAAAGAACAGTTCAGGGCAATGCAAGAATTTCAGAAAACCAACTCCAAGCTCAGGTGCAGTCCAGCAACAACGATGAGGGCAGACCACGGCCCTTCCACTGAATGGGAGGCATGTTTCAAGGACTGGCTTGCTTTTAAATTGTTGGTGTTTATACATCTTTCCTCTTACAGGAAGTAAGGTTTAGTGCAGGAACAGAATACTAAGTTTGCCTCACTGGGACTACAGCAGAAGGTGCCAGCCAGGTGACTCATGTCTTATCCTAAAATCTGTAGTCACTTCCTTTTGAATGGATTGGGAATTCCCTCCTTTGATAAAACAAATCAAAAGGAGTAACTTCTATGAAGATTCTTTCATCAGTTGCTTCTGAATATAGAGGATCTGGGTGGAGGAAAGAGGGGGTAAATTGATCATATGTAGCCAGGAGAGCAGCCATGTTTTCTTTCCATTATGTGATCCCCCCGCTAATCAGGATCTCCTTGCAGCCCCAGAAGAACCCTCCTGATGTGAGCAGCCCTGGACAGAGCACATGAAGGGGTGGGGGCAGGGGCCTGGGCTGGCAGCTTGCCGGATGGAATTGGTTCCAAGGCAGGAGATGAATAATAAGGATTTGTTCCCACAAAGGAAGTAACCCTCAAAGGTTGAAAACTTGCAGACTTCCTTTTTTAGGGGATAGCAGTAGAAGAGCGGAATGAGATGCATAGAGCAAATTTCCCCATGCAAAATGGGAGGTTTTTCAAGTCTCCTACCTTCCCTGGCTAGTGCCATCATTTGATCATTCCACATCATCCAAGACTGGCATGAACATCCCTTCATTCTGAAGAAGGAGCAGTTCATATGGGGAAGCAATAAACTGGCAGATGACCTGTTCTTTGTTGCATGCTGAGCCTAAGGGTATCTCTGGCTGCCCAGTTCCATAGCATATCCCTGGTTCAGGTGTAGGGCAAGCACATGGTTTGGTTTAAACTGGTCTTTAGGTCAGTTGTCCAAGGCTGTCTCAGAACTCAGTTGAGGGTAGGCAAGGATGCCTGGCAGTCCCAGTCTTATCTGAATGCCCATCACCTGTTCTTGTCTTGGTGCAGGGTGCAGCTTTTCTTAGCCTGCAGCTTCTTTCTTGCACCTGGAGGGTCATAACATTCTTGTTTGGGAACTTCTGCTTTCCTAGGGCTTAGGAATCTGCCCTCTTACATCCAAACAGTTCATTGCTGCTGTCCCTGGCCTGTTTCCTCCCCAATTTGATAATCCCTGTTTCTTTACCCACCTGTATTCAGCCCATTGGAGGGGGGCGGGGGGGAAGAGTGCCCTGTTCTTTACTTAAGTGCTAGTAAAATACATCTTTCTTTTTATAGCGGTTAAGTTTGTAAGTGGAATGAAACTGCCCAGATGGAAACCCTCCTCCCCATCAGAGACCACTGAATTTACCTTCTCACTCCTGCAGTTAGATTCACCAGGAACAGCAAATGCCAACCAGAACTGTCACTGCAGGGGCTGCTGCAGCCTGCCTCAGCCATCAGTATGAAGCTGAGTGTCTCATATTAAGGTTTCAGTTCAGGTAGCAGTACTGTTGTCACTCAAAGGAAGCAGATATGGAGGGAGTTTGGGGGAGGGTGGGAGGGTGGGAAAAGAGAGGGTAAGAGAGGGTCGTAGCTTAGGGGTGTTGGTGAGCCCCATTTCCAGATCAGATCTGTAGCATGTGCTGTTGACCTCTTCTGAGATGAACTCTCCGATAGGACCTGCCAGATAGCGCTGAGACATGGAAGAAATTCAGACAAAATGGCTCACCCTAATAAAGAAGGGGGAGTGACTATATTTTAAATTAAACTTGCTTTTTCCAACACTGTGAGGTTTCTGTAATACTTAGCTTTTATTTGGAAGCGATAGCGTATGGCATTTTTTATGCTATTTGGTTTATATGGTCTACTGCAGGCTTCTTTGTACAAGCTTGGCCTGGGCTCACCCTCTCCTGGACACTGTTTTAAAGTGTACAGCTGCCCATGTTGCCAGAGGCTCTGATATAAAGCTGTACTCTCTAGATCCACATTTTTAAGTTGGCAGGATTGATGATGACTTTTTGCAGCAATGGAAAAGTTCATTAACTCAACAAAAACAAAAAACAAAACCCAAGGAGAGTAAAAAAGAAAATACAAATTGTGCCTCATCTGTCTTTGAATGCTATATTTATTATTCTAGAAAAAGAGAACTTACAAATGGAAAAGAACTAATAGAGCATCTACTTCATCCCTCCGGCTGTCCAGGGGGAAATACTTAAGAAAAATGAACATTTAATGAAAAATTAAAAGATCTTCAAATTTAATTTTTAAAGATAGTTTTATAGCAAATATTTATAAGAATTATTAAGCAGATTTAAGGACTTTTGTGAAATAAGCCCTTAACTTAGCTGAGCACCCCTGTATCAAACTAATAAAATTGTTTAAAATAAGTTGGAATAGAAACCACTACCAGAGTCCTCACTGAGCTGCATACTCTTGAAGGTGCCCCTGCAGTCACAGACACCTCAGGTACCCAGAGGCAGCAGCACTAGACGCTGTTGAGAAGTTAGTATTTATGGAGATTTTTATTAAAGAGTTCCCTGCTGCATAAGCCAATGGCTGTTGTGAGGGAAGTGTCCCTTTGCCTTTAATTTATTTACATATTGGAAGTAGATGGATTTCTTAGTTGCATCTTATTTAAACTGAAACATTCTAAAGAGAAGAAGATAAGAACAAGGTAGACATTGACTAGATGCTGCCAAATCAAACCCAAGATCTCCTAACTAAACCTTATGGGGCCTACTGCTCCCAGACAAGTAGTTAGTGTCCCGTTCCAGGAACCCTTTGTAGTTGGCTGGTGTGTTTACTTTCTGCTGTAGCCAGCCAAGATGAATGCACCCTGGCCCTCAAAAAGGATTTTTACCTCAGTCTAGTTTGACCCTCATACTTGTGGTTGCCTCTGAGATAAGCATCCATGCTAGTTTAAAAAAAAAAAAAAAATAGGAATGCCCTTAACAACCAGGAACTGAAGCTCTTATTAAATGGTGGGCGGAGCTCTTGCCAGTTTTGATCCAGCCCCTTCTCGGGCCCTCTGAGGGGGGCAGTGCCACACTGAAAAGAATTTCCAGATGTATCTTAAAATGTCATGAATAAAATTAGAAACTGTAGAAGTGTTAATGTGTCCTATGGACTCAATAGCAGAGTTTATTTTTGTTTTTAATGGCAAGGCTTCTAGAGTCAATGATTGTATGAGTTCCCTACTCTGGCTATGCTTATAGCTCCATCCAAGTGCAAGAACTGATGAAGTGAATTGGCTGGCAGTGGGGCATAAGCCTGAGAGAGGTTGACAGTAGTACAGAATGAAAACTTGCTTGGGTTGTGGGGGTGGGATGTGGGTGGGCAGGCAGGGAGGGGGAAATGGGAGTTTGTTTTACTTATTGATAAAGCTTTGTGAACTAATTTTATACAATTCATAACATTTGGTGCCTTGTACCCAGTTATGGTTTGCATGGGATTGAAAAGATTAAGGGAAAAGATGCCTCATTGTCATTTTGGGTGACAAATGGGTCTGTACAGTGTAAAGGACATTTGATATAAGACATTTAAAAAGCATTTCATCTCATGTGTGTGAAAGATAATTATTCTTACCAGCAGGTTCTGAAATTTTACTGTAATGTCTAAAATCTTTGGATTTGTGACTATTCATCAAATGGCTGCTTTTCAAGGCAGACAGACTGTATACCCCGTTCTGTCTCAGCACCTCTTTTACGTTCCAAACATTAACTTGGGCCTTTTCGGGTAGGCTGGGAGTGCTACTTCTTCCCAAACATATACTATACCCTTGTCGGGTTATATATTATGAGTGGAAGAGTTGTTTTTCCAGCTGGTTGGGAGAGCACAAATGTTCAGAAAGGGCCTTTTTTTTCCTAATGCTGGACAACTTAGGATAGAAGTCGAACAAAAATGGTTCCTCCTGAAGGATTACCTTCCTTAGTTCTGAAGTTCTTTTGCACAAAATTTCAGGAAGCAGTAGAACACAATCCCCAATATGTGAACCTTTAGATTATAAGGCAAGCCAGTGCACTGTGTAATATGTAAAAGAGAAGGCTCAAAGAACCTGTCCCAGCCCTCCAGCCTCTTCCCCTGGCAGGTGCTGACTGGGATGATGCTGAGTGGCTGAGGAAGGGGAGAAGACCCAGTCTGCTCACCTGCAGGGCTGTTTATAGCCTGTTCCTTTTACTCTGATCTTAAGGTTTCCATTGAGCTTGTGAGACTTCACCAAAGGTGTTTAAAAAGCTTACCACTTGAAGCACATTTGAAAATTGGTTCTTTCGGCCTAATTACTGGCCTAATTAGGTGAGGTTGTACTTTTGGAGCCAAAATCTCCCATGGTAACTTAGTTTTTTACTGGGTAAGTATGCATCTCCCTGGTGGTTCAGATTCTTTTTAAAATCAGCACTAAAGCTGAAAACACCTTCTGACTGTGAGTTTAATTTAGATCTTTCACATTTAACCATTGTCTTGGTCTAGGGCTTCAACTGACCAGTGTTTATTCTTTCAACCCACACATTGCTCTAAATACACTATAGCTAGCTACTCCAGCATTGATCAAATGGTCAATCTTGTGGACTCTTCCCATACTTATTTCTGCTGGCACGTTTCCATTTAAAATCTAACCACGTAATCTGAGATTTTTGTAGTGCTATGTTAATCAGCCAGGGCTAAAAATGATATGACAAATGTGAAACCGACTTTGCTTGGGAGGAATGTTGTGTTGGAATGGTGAAGGCCAGCATTTCAATTTATGGAATTAATAACTGTTCATCAGAACTCGGGAAAATTGTAGATTTGATAGCTTTACTTGCTAAATTCTTAACACTGAGGAATTAAGCCAGTTTAAATGAAACTTCACCTTGCCAGTATTACGGCTTTATAAACCCACTAACAGTAAATTCTATTCCTTGAAGCTAAAACATAAAATTGTGAAATACGAATTATGTTTTGGAAGCTGCCATGTCTTAATTTTTGCTGGATTTTTATTTTCAATCTTAAAAAACTTTGTAAAATAGAACTCTTCACAGTTATGAGTAGATCGGGCTGCAGACTAAGGATCTGTTTCATGCCTATGAAGAACAGGAGATGCTTGTATTATCTTAGCAGTGGTCTGATGCAGATCTGAAGGGGCTTAGAATTTATGCTGTGGCTTAAGTTTCCTTTCTGGTCACCATGGGGGAGGGTTCAAACTCAAGCTTTGCTCTCATGCGTGTGACCATTTCTCATCCTAACACCTAGTAAGATGGGTGTTAAGACCTGTCAAGTCGTTTGTGGTCCTAGCGTAGAATCTTTCAGGGTCTTGGCTTCTTGGTAAGCAAGCCATCCACAGGCCTGAATTCACACATGCTCAACCTCCTCCCCAACAGATGGAGCCTACCTGATGACTGCAAGAGAACGGGACTTTGTAAAACATACACAATCTGATTCTCAAGATTTCTTAACGAGATTTATGCCGGTTAGGCCACTGTGGTGCATTCATACTGACCCCTCCGCCCTTTCTAGTTCATACCCTTTAATCCCATATCCCTTCCATAGGAAACTTGACGTGGAAAAGCAGGATTTTAAAAAATACCTAATGGGCTCCTGGCTAGCTGTCAGAGCATGCAACTCTTGATCTCAGGGTCATGAGTTGGAGCCCCATGTTGGGTGTAGAAAGACTCAATAAATAAACTTTTAAAAAATAAAAAATGCCTAGAATAAAACAACCAGAAAAAAATTGCCTAGGGGGAAAACTCTCTCCACATCTTTCCGAGCCTACATGAGTCTTTTCCACTGCCAGTTCCTTACGTATTCCATTTCCAAAGAACTCCCAACTCATGGAACAGTGGCACTACCGTGAGTTTCAGGTCAGAGAACATCTATTTCCTCGTGAAGGAAACCGCTTCCTCAAGCAGTGTCACTTAGTACCCGCTGCCCAGGCTGACTCACCTTGCCTCCACCTGCGTATCACTGCCCTCTTTCTACCAAGAGATCCCACTCGATTATAGCAACAATGCCCCCCTGGTGCCTGGAAAACCCACCTGGTGCAGAAAAATGCTATGCAACACCAAATGGCTTCTTCCCCTACTTCTGCTCAAAAGTGGAAATTCCTCAAAAATCACGTTTCACCTTATGTTGACATCAGTGTACAGTGGCTACAGTTTTCTTTTTCTTTTTCTTTTTTTCCTTTTAATATGAAGCAAACCACCTCTGTTACAATTCATGTTTGGGGCTCGTTCATGTCTCTTGAGTGTGAAATAAAAATCATGTTTTTATGATTTTTGTAAATCTTGACTTTTTACACCTTGTTTTTGTAAGCTGAAGTTTCTTATTAAAAGAATAAAATGACGGTCTTTGTATACGTCTTTATTCCAAATATTTCTTAAAATATCATTAGGTTATTCCTCAGGACAAGAGCAAAGATCACCCCCTGCAGAAACTTAGGAACTATGTACAGAACTTTACAGAACAGAGGACAACACTTTGGCTGAAACCTGACTGCTGACCAGAGAATGGAGTTCTGAGTGGGCTCAAGGAGACGAAGCAATTGGGAAGGGAAGGTGGTCTGATTGAAGCTTCAACTTCCAAGAGGGCTAAGTCTTGTGACGGTCATAAATTGGAGGCTCTAGTTTTGGAAGGTTCAAGTACAGCACAGGGGGTTCCATGTGTCTGCAATCAGACAACAGGACAACAGTGGCATTAGAAATGTAAAAGCACTGGAGGAAAATTAGTAAGAGACTCAAAATTCCTCATAACATCTGTAAACACATTTAACTAGGAACAGCCAAGGACTTCTATCAAATCTCCTTCCTGTATTTTGTGAATAGATGACAAATATTATTGCTTCTCTCAACCTCTAGAGCTCCCAGACCCGCAGAGCTCAGGTTAAGTTCTTACCTATTTGGCTACACCCCCGGCTGAGGTGCCATTAGGTCAATGTCACTCAAATTCCTAGCCAGCCAAACTCCCGCAGCAAAAAGTCCCAAATTGAGGATCAAGTTCCTGGAAAAAGAACATCTCATTAACCTTGCCGTCACTGACTCACTTGTCTTTAGTTAAGGAAAGATACTGGGGGGAAAGACTTGCCATCACCGCCCTGGAAAAATCTTCGGAGGCATAAACGCTTTTAGAATTGCAAGAACGTAGAGCTTTACGGTGGTAGGTTGCCCAAGAACTATATGGTTACTTGGAGTCCGTTTCTGTATCCACTGAGCAGAATCAAATGCAAAGGATAATTAAACACTCGCCTAGGGCCGAAAGGCCTGTTTGTGTTGGCGCCTCTTTTTCCCGGGTCCCCCTGGTCAGGGGGAGAGTTCTCTAGACATAGCCCAATAACTCAAAAGATCGCTTCTGCCGCACGGGAACTCTCCCAGCCTAGGACCGCTCCAAAGCTCAGCCAGAGCAACGCAGAGGCGCCAGGCTGGGCGCAGGGGGCTCGGAGGGCCGGAAAGGGACAAGCTCCCGGGGCCTCGGTTACCTCCGGAAGTCGTTCCTGTCGGTGGCGAAACGGTAGACGCCCCGGAGCCAATCTCCCACGTTGTCTGGAATTTCGGGTGCTTCATTTGGCGCGCCGGCAGCGCTCACGCCGACCCCGCTGGAAGCCATAGCGGCACCCTCACGCTCCGCAAGGCGACTCCCGACGCACCGCGTAGGCGCCGGCGCCCGCGGAGCGCGCCACTTCCGGCCTCGCACTTCCGCCGGCGACGGGCCGGCAGGGGGCGCCGCGGCCCGGGGGAGAGCGAGAGGTCCCGGGCGGCGCGTCCACGAGCTCCGCGAGGCGGGGAGCTCCCTCCAGGCCTGCGGCTTGCCCGCCTAGGCACGGCCACACGTGGTCGCTGAGTGCTCCCTTCATTGGCTCAGGAAGATGCTGGGGCGGGGCCGCCCCAGCCGTGGGGGTGGGCCTAGGGGCTAGCTCAGCAGGGGACGCGCAGCTTTGCGGGGTGGGGTTCCCCCCAAGAAAGTCTCCGTCTGAAGGCTTAGGATGCGCAGGCTTAAGAGGGAGCACTCCAAGTTTGTGACCTGGCCGCCTCTCCCAGGGGCGCCCCGATTGCGTTCAATCTAGGATGTTTACAGGGTGAGGAGATCCTCGCTCTCCCACCAAACCGATCACGCGCCCCTTCCCCTTCCCCGGGCTGCGCCACTAGCAAATGGCGCAGTGTCTCCTGGAGGTGTCGCTGTCCCCGGCCTGGAGGCTTCCGGGGGACTTCCAGGGACCGGGAAGGCGCTGACCTAAGAAAAAGCCTTCGGGTTCCGAGTCCGAAGAGGAGGAGCAGGTGGGGCAGGCGGCGTCCTCCCTGGCGTCGAGCGGCTTCTCCAGCCGGCCCCGTTCCTGCCCTTGGGGTGCCTCCGTCCGGTCCCCAGCTCGATCTTCCTGCTCCGGGCTGGATGGAAGCGGCCCTCTCTGGGCCTCCGGGCCGAAGCGGGAGGCAGCGGCGTCCTCCGCTCTGTCGAGGCCCGCCTCCCCTGTAGCAACAGGGCCGGGCCAGAAACGCGGGTCTCAGAGCCGGGACGGGCGCCAGAAGCCGGATCCCGCTGGGGGTCCGCCCTCTATCCCGCCCCGCCCCCGGGCCGTGCGCGCCGCCGCCGCCGCCGCCGCCGCCGCCGCGACTCCGCTCCCGGGCTCCCCCCGCCCCCGCGCGTCCCCGCCGCCGCCCAGCAGAGGGCGGCCGCGTCCCCAGTCCGAGAGTGAGTCCCGCGCCGCAGCCCCGACGGTGGCGCGGGGTGGGCTCGGGAGGCCTGGAAGCGCTCCGGCCAGGGACGCGCGGTGAGAGCTGCGGGCCCCGAGGCTCGGGTCTGGGGGGTGCGGTGGGGGGACGGGACGGCGTGGGACCGGGGCGAGGGTCCCGGCCCAGGAGAATCCCCTCCTCGGCCCAGCCCAAGCCGCTGCCCCCTTCCCCCCGGATCTGCACCTTCTCCTCCCTTACCAGGGGACGCCCTCCCTTCCAGTGCCGGGGCCTGGCTCGAGCCGGCAGCCGAATAGCGACGCTCAAAGCAGCGGGGGCAGCAGGGGCCGCCCCCCGGCACGGCGTAGCGCCCCCCGCCCAAGGGCCCGGCGCAGTCCTGGCAGCAGAAGTGGTTCTCGTGCCAGCGCCGCCCCTCGGCCTCAGTGCAGCGCCGGGAGAAGATGAGCTGGGAGAGGGGGGAGAACAGCCCGTTCATTCATTCATTCACTCATTCATCCACCCAGAACCACGCCTTTTACCCAGTTAACGCTAAAGCACGTCTACCGACATCCCCTTTGATCTACTCAACCACTCGGGCGCAGGGAGGGTTGACTGGCCTAGCCGGGGTCCCGCTAGCAGGTGGCACAGCCTGAAGAAGCGCGACCCCGGTCGCCGGGACTCCCAACCCAGGGTTCCGCTCTGCCTCTTGGGCTCCCATTATGGCAGTTCCTCGCCTGATCAGGACAGCACTGGGCACCCGGCAAACCGAGATGAACGCCTGTCCCTGCTCCGGAGAAATCCTCTCAGTCCCAGAAAGTCTGGGGGCCTCTGCTTGCGGCGGGGGAGGGCACAAGGCGACGGGTCCGCATGCCCAGGATTCCAGTCAGAGCCACAGGGGACACAAAGGACCCAGGCTGGTTCTGAGTCCTCCACTCCGCGGTACCAGCAGAGGTGTCCCCTTACCTATCGCCGCGGTGGACCCTGGGCAGCCCCTCCCAGCAGCCCTCTTGGGGCTGTACCTGGTCACAGGCCGGGCAGCGGGGCCGGAGCAGCTCTGCGTGATGACGGCCGCAGTAGAGATGCCCGTCGTGGTAGAAGTAGATGAGGTCTATCAGGGCCTGGCCACAGGCCTGGCAGGCAAAGCAAGCCGGGTGCCAGCGGCGCCTCTCTCCTGCCCGGGCTGCGAACACTCCGTACTCCCCTGGCCTCAGCCGCTCCCTGCACTGCCGGGTCGAGGTGCTGGGCTGGTCAGAGGCTTCCCTCCTGGCTCTTCCATCTTAACCCCAACCCAACTGTTCCCCCTGGCAGGCCCACCTCCACTGCAGGCTCCACGGAGAACCCGTAAACGTGGCCTCTCTTTTTGGACTTTGCCAAACTGTCAATCTCCAACCCCCGTTTCCCCACCTGAGGCCCTGGAGCTAGGCCCTTCTACAGAAGTGAGAGGGCAAGGGGGAATGGGCGGGGGGGGGCACTACATACCTTCTCACAGGTGTGTTCCACCAGCTTGGAAAGTACCAGGCAGGCCACCCCCTGTCCCAGGGCCTCCCGCCTCCGCTGGGCACAGAAGAGCCGCAGCTCGGCCAGCTCATCCTCTTCAAAGGCCAGGCAGTAGCGTTCCTGCAAAAACAGGCCTCCACTGAGACTGGGAGAGCCCCAACAGGCAAGGCTGGAGTTTGGAGGGAGAAGGCTTAGTTAGCTGCTGGGTCAAAGGAAGGTTGTAGAAGCTTCTGGAGGTGCAGAAGACAACGGCACAGAAGGGCACAGAGAGAGGGAAGAGAGCTGGAGTAAGCCTACCTCAGTCTCACCTGCCCCCGGGAATGGCCACCACTCAGGTCCTGACAGCCCACAGCACTAAGCTCTGTCACCACTTATCTAGATCCTTACCCCCAGTGTCACTGTCACTTTCTGTTGTTTTTCCGATTTATTCCACGTTTCCTGGTCTTGCCCGCCTAGCTTAAGTGTAAGCCTTTTGTCTGGGCACACACTAGGGCCTCAATAAATACTTAACCATACTCTCTACATTTGTACATTCCACTATTGGTTTCCAAAGTTGTTCATGTCCATTTTCTCATTTGCTCTTCAACTAAGCATTGTGAGCAGAGCAGATGCTTTTGTACCCATGGTGAAGACTTGAAAACTCAGGCTGGGGAGGAGAATGAGTTCCCCAGTTAGCGGCACAGCTGGGTCCTAGTTCCCTATCCTCTGGAGTCTGGCCCCATGGTAAAAAGAGGGAGGCGGAGAGAGGGAAACCCACATCACTGTCCTGCGGAGGCAGCTGCTGCAGGAGGATCCGAAGCCCAGGCCAGGTGGAGGCCCCGTCTGTGTCCAGGCAAGGGAGCTCCAAGCTCAGAACTTCGGGATCCTGAGATGTGGCAGGAGAGGGGTGGTTAGTTTTGCCTTCCTCTTCTTTCCTCCCTCCTCCTCCCAATCTGGAATGATTACCATGTGCCCCCCTCCAAGATCAAGACAAGGACAGCTGATCCACTCCTGCATTTGTGGTCTGATTGAAGCAGGCTGGGGAGGCCCCACACCCCCAAATGGCATCCTTTCTTATGCTTGAAATCAATCTATTAGTCTGGGGCCAAAGCCTGGAGTTGGCTTTGACAAGACAGACTCCCCAAAAGAGGGAACGGGTATGCATGTGAATAAGTTTAAAGTCGAACCCCCATGTCCCCATCCCCCATCCCAAGGGGGCTGTAGGGACAGGGGTTCCTGCAAAGAGAAAAGGACAACAGGAGATCGGGCTCAAAGGCTACCCTCCAGGCGGGTGGTAGAAATGGGAAGAGGCCTGTAGGATGGAGGGCAGGTTGGCCTCAGAGGGAAGGGAAGGGCTCCTACTACCTGTGCAGAAGTCTCCTCAGGGTGCTTGTCTGGCAGGTGGCCTGGGTCACTGTCTGAGTTGGCTGGTGGACCTGGCTCTGGAGGGGTGAGGCTCTCCCCTTGATGGGGCCAGTCAGAGCTCGGCACTGACATTGGTGACAAAGTCTGTCCAGAAAACAAGGACTCCCAATTGTCAGTCCCTCATGTACGATGTGCCAGGCAAGGCTAAGTGCTTTGCAGGCATGGTCTCCTTCTGTCCTCCCAATGACCAGATGAGGTGGGTGGTTCTCCTGTCCCCATTTTATAGATGGCTACACTGAGGCTCACAGAGCATAAATGCCCAAAGTAACTCAGCTACTACGTTGCTGAGCCAGATCTTGAGGCCAGGCCTTTCAGAAACTCCCAAGAGTTCTGAAGCTCAAATTCTGGGTCGTCCCAAGATTGGGAAGGAGGAAAGAGGAGGCCCACAATGGAAGGAGAGGCCATTCTGCCTTTCTAATGAGACTTTGGGCAGACTGGCCCCTTCCCCACCTTCCCAGTGTCAACTCCCACCATTCCTCATTGTGCACTGAACACTCCACTGAACCTGCATCCTCATGCTCCCAACACAAGGGCCACTTTGCCAGCTGCAGGCACAGGACAGTTCCTCATCTTGTCTATAAGCTCAAGGACAGGAGAATCCCGTGTGCTTTTGGCTTCTACTTATAGCAGCAATTTCCCATTTTATTGGATAATTCTAAACACATCTCTTTGGCCCTCCTTGGGGCCAGCCTTAGCAGGACCACAGGATCTTGGGGGTGAGGGTGACCACTGAAGTAGAAAACAGATGGGCCCTGCCCTTAAGGAGCTCATACTCCAAAAAAAAAAAAAAAAAAATTAGAGAGAGATGAGACCAGACTGAATAGGGCCAGAGCTCTAGGCAGGTATATATGGCACGCTAGGAGAAAAATAACCAGAGCAAACTTTTCTGTAATGTTTACTCTGTGCAAGGGACCACACTAGCACTTTACATAATAGAATGCATCCTTAAAACAATCCTATCAGGTAGTTTCTGTTATCCCAGTTGAGAGCTGAAACAAACAGATTAACTTGCCTAAGGTCACATTAAAAAAACTGGGGGATGTCCTAGGAAGAAGTTGCCTTTGAGATCTAGGATGGATTTTGACAGCAGCTAGGGCACAGGAGGTCCTCACCAGATCCCAGGCCTCTATAAAACTCAGCTGTGGAGTTGGGAACAAGGTTTGGACTCTTAACAGTTATATTGGTTCCCAGCCCTCCCACCCCCTTCAGACGTCCTGTGCCACCCATCCCTGCTTCCACACCCATCTGCTTCCTTCCTGTTCTGTCATGTTTCCTGTGGAAAGCAGCCAGGATGGGCTGTTCACATTCAGAGCCAGGAGTAGCCACTTCCCCTGACAGCACTGCCCCTGCTCCATCCAGGCGGCAAGAGGCACTTGGGAGAGGGTTCGGAGCCACCTGGGACCTCAGGGTGGATTTGCACCCTCTTCCAGGTTCTAGTTTGTCTGCAATTGCCCCGCACAGAAACAATGCTCAGAAGTCAGCTCTCACCCGTCACCCTTCCATCCTCCCATCTCCACTCAGCCCTGGACCCGGTCTTACTAACAAGCTGGATTTCTTCAAGAATCCCCCTCCTTCTCAGGGCTGAACCCTGTCTCCCGCCCCCGCGCAGGTGCAACCCGGTTCAAGAGTTCACTCTTCCCCATCCGCCCCGGCCCTGGAGGGCAGAGCCTGCGCAGCCCTAGGGACCAGGGAGGTAAAAGGATGGGAAGGTTTTCCGCGGACAGCGAGACAGAAAAGTACCCGGCCCTGCCAATGCCAAGTGTCCCCTCGACAGATTCCTAAAGCTTGTTCTTGGACGTCCCCGGGAGTCGGGAACCCCGGGGTTCCCAGTCTGGCTGCTGGGAGCTTAGGGGAGGGAACGGGACTCCGCTGGGGTCTCACCCTCGCGGCGCGCCGGCGTCCGGGCAGTTCTGGACAGACCCCGCCGTCCGGCCCCCCGCCCAGTCCCCACCCTGAGGCCTCAGCGCCTGCCCCCGCCCGCCCCGGGAGCGCCGCCCGTCCTCTCCCACGCCTCCCGCGGCCCCCGCCCGCCCCTCCCGGGCTGGCAGAGCGGGCAGCTGGCGCGGGGCCTGGAGTCGCAGCCGAAGGAAAGAATCTGGGGGGCCGCAGGGTGGAGAGTGTGCAGGCTCCACTGCCCCTCCCCACCCCCAGGGGTTAGCGAAGGCCCTGCGCCCCCGCGGGCACCGGGCGGACACCTGGGAGCCGCCGTCGGGCCGGGTCTTCAGTCACTGGCGGAACAGTGCGCCTTTCCGAGCCGGCAGGTCCCCTCAGACCCTCCTCCTGGCCCCGCCCCTCTCCGGGGGTCCTCACCCCCCTCAGTTGCCTCCCCCGGTCCCCAGCCCTCTTTAGGGATTCTTCATCTTGCCCTTCTCCCTGCAGGCCGTTCAGGCCCTTCCCCGATCTTTTGTGTCTCTTCCCCCCACCCCGGTCCCTTTTCTGATCCCGGGAGCGGAAACCTCCGGTCCCATCTCTGGGTCCCTTCTCGGCCCCGCCCCCGCCCCCGCCCCGCCCTCGCCCCCGCCCCGCCCCTCTCCGTGGGGCTCCTCCGCGGCTGGCCCGGAGCGCCCTCTGGCGTCTGCGCATGCTCCCCGCTCCCGACTGCAAAGTCCTCCAAGGGGACCTTCTAGGCTGCGCGCTGGTCGCCCCCGATCGGGTCCGCCCGCCCGCAGCGTCTCGTTGGTGCTGCCGGTGACCTCCGACCCCGCGGCCGCGGGGCGGGGCGGGGAGGCCTTAGCTCCGGGCGGGCGGCGGCTGCTGCAGCGGGACCCGGGAGCGGGGCCCGGCGCCGCCCGGGCCGCGGGGCGATGTGAGTCGGGGCGCGGCGGGGCGGGGACGAGGCGGTTCCACCGAGGCCGCACCGCGCCGCGCCACAGCCTCCGCTCCCTCCCGAGGAAGCCCTGGGCGGGCGGGCGGTGGAGTCCCGGGGCTGGGGGCGGGGATCTGGGACGGCGCGCGGCCCCGACCTCCCCCACCGCTTCCCGGTGTCTGTAGAAATTCCCCTGACAACCCCGCCACCCGAATCTGCCGCTCATTCCGCAGAACCACCCCACCCCCAACCCCGGACACACCTTGGCTTGTCCTGGAGCCCCTGGAACCCCCTCACTCCTGCGAATTCTCCTGTTCACGCCCGCAGAGCCACCATTCTCCGGAATGCCCCCCAAATGCTTCCAGAGCGCTGCGGTTCCTCTGATCCTGCATACGCCCCATTCTCCTTGCACCACGCTTTAATGCAGAAAACTTACCCATGTTTCCGCAAGCCCTCCTATATTTTGAGTCCCCATAACCCACCCTGACACTCCCGCCTCCGATCCCACACCTCTGGGGCACCAGAGCCCCTACCTGTCCCAGCCATTGTAACCACCACCCCCCTCACTGAAGTGTCATGATACGTTCTGATATCCTAAAGACAAATGAAGGGGACAGAAAAAGGTGCAACACCCTCCCCCATCTTGCACCCTATAGTTCTTGGTTTCGCCCCCAGACTCCCTGTTGGTGGCTCCAGCCTCAGTATTTTCCCGGCTGCCTGTCTGTAGGCTGTGCACACCTCCCTCAGCCTTCTTCCTTCTTGCAGAGCATAAGCCAGACCAGAGGGATGGGGGTCCTTTTACCGGGGAAGCTGTAGGAGGAAGCAGAGCACAAGGGTCCCCTGGGAAAGGATATTGCTTTTGGAAAGCAGGAGGGTGGGATTTCAAGGATCTCCCAGGCCCTGGCTTGTCAACATGTCCACCTGGGGCTGAATCCCCTGGATCCCTGAAATTTTGATTTATTGTTAGCGTTTATGTGAACATTTTAGGCGTTACAAAGCTTGGAGAACAGAATATCGATCAAGTTTCCAGATGTCAGATGGAGGGAGCGTAGCTTGTCCTGGAAGGGGCAAATACCCATTTTCGTGACCTTTTTACTACGGACTTAACTGCTTTCAGGTTAATTAAGCCAGAACCTCGCCATTTACAGAGGTTTCCCTTGAAAACTAAGGCCTTGGGGTGGGAGATGGGGGATTGTCTTGCCAGAGTCTCCCAGATGCTTAGTGCCAGCTTAAATCATTCGCTTCCTGAATCTTAAGCCAGCATTCTTTCCAGTACATCAGTGTCCTTTTCAGAAAGCTCTCTGTAGAGTTAAAATTTTCTGCAAAGGTAAGGTGGTGGTTTTGGTGTTGGTTGTAACAGGATTCAGATGGGTTCTAGGGGCAACTGAAAAGGCTGTCTCCGACTCCAGATTCATTGCAACTAGGGTAGTGGCTCCCTTTCAGGGCCTGGGGGGCTTGGATTTGTGGCCCTTTGGCCTTGAACTCACTCTCTTCATTGTGTGTCCTGTCAGGACCTGGAACAGATATCCAGGTGGGATGGATTGACAGCAAGTGAATTCATTAACAATTGGAGGCGAGCATGGAAGTTTTCCACTAACTTGTGGTCTTTGTTTCCTGTGCCAGGTGAGCCCCAGGTGTGTCCCAGAGGGATCCAGGTGACTTCTCTGCAGACTACTTGCCATGATGCCCCACCAAGAACAGGGGGAATAAAGTGGGGGTCCTTCCCCATGCCCCTCCCATGGTCAGCTCCCCGATGGCCTGGGTGAGGTGAGAGCTGTGTATAGGAGCCACTCTTCTGGAGTTTTCCAAGTCGGGAGGAATGGGGGATACCAGTCAGGATTGTTCAAGGCTTTACACATTCAGTGGGAGTTCCTGAAGGATATCTGATCTTACAGATTCATTTTTTCATAGATATATTTATTTAAAGATATATTTATTTAGTGAGGGAGAGGGAGAGACAATCTCAAGCAGACTGCTGAGTGCAGAGCCTGATGTGGGGCTCAATTTCATGACCCTGAGATCACGACCTGAATTGAAATCAAGAGTTGGAGGCTTAACTGACTGAGCTCCCCAGGTGTCCCTTATAAATTGATTTCTTGCATCAAGTTGCAACCCTTCTGGTTGCGACTGTTCTGTGCATATGTTTGCTCCCTAAGGTCACTCCAGTTTGGCGGTCTCCTCTCCATTCTAGACAAAGGCCCAACTGTTGTGACATGTAATCCAAGTGCCATAATCCTGGAGGGAAAAGCCAGATACTAAGGCCTCTGGTCTCCTCTTTAGACAAAGAGGAGCAAACCCAGAGTTTATTTTTTTTTAGAAGAAATGCATAATCAAGGTTATAAAAAAATGTGCTGTTTTGAATTTAGTCTTCTTACTGTATCTTGACCGTGATGTGATGCCTCACAGAAGAGAACATCAAAAAGATAAATTTGAAGTCCATTTTGGGATGGTGGTGAGGGAAGAAAAGAGAATTTGGGTGATGTGGGAAGGGTAAGGTAGAAAAGAAGGGAAAAAAAAAAAAAAGAGGAAGGTCCAGGCCAAAGTGTCAGGGACTCCCAAGTTACAGTTTCTCTGCTGAATCTGGATGAAGGCTCTGGATTGGCACCCAGCTCCCTCTGAAAAAAATCACTTTTCTGGTTCCCTGCCTTTTATTTTATTTTATTTTATTTTATTTTATTTTATTTTATTTTATTCTATTTTATTCTATTTTATTCTATTTTATTTTATTCTATTCTATTCTATTCTATTCTATTCTATTCTATTCTATTCTATTCTATTCATCTTTTCAAAAAAGAGAGGGAGAGAGCATGCGAGCAAGGGGACGAGCAGAGATAGAGACACAAGCAGACTCATGCTGAGCATGGGGCCTGACCTGGGGCTTGATCCCACAACCTAGAGATCATGACTTGAGCCAAAATCAGGCATCAGACGACTGACCAGTCTCACCACCCAGGCACCCCTCCCTGCTTGTCCGTGCTTTTCCTGCTTTACAGACTGACCAATCTCACCACCCAGGCACCCCTCCCTGCTTGTCCGTGCTTTTCCTGCTTTACAGACTGACCAATCTCACCACACAGGCACCCCTCCCTGCTTGTCCGTGCTTTTCCTGCTTTACAGGCTTCCCATTGCTTGCATTATCTCATTCAGAATGCTCCTCACTTCTCAGGGTCCAGATCAGATGTTACCTCTGAGAAGTTCTCTTCCTTTGCTCTGTCAGCATTAATCTTTAACACATCCTAACTTGAATTAATGTTTATCCAACACATGTCTGGCCCTGGATTGAGAATATGAGTGTCTTAGAGGAGGGACAGAGTCTTCCTATGTCCAAGCGGAGGTGATCCTAACGAGGTGGTTCTGTCAGAGTCCCTAAAGTGGGGATTTCCAGAGCTGACCTAGATGACCTTGTCCGTTGCATTTTCCCCTAGGGTGACCTGGCTGTTCTGACACCATGGGGAGCTGCTGCAGCTGCCTGAACAGAGACAGCGTCCCAGACAACCACCCAACCAAGTTCAAGGTACCCGCAACCTCCTCTCCTGGGCCAACCTGTCAAGTTGCCGTTGCCTCCCTAGAGAAGGTGAAGTGACAGGCCAAGGTGATGGCTCCTTAAGACTTGAGGCCCAGGCCGCTGCCCATTGCGTGGCTTTCCTATACCATGAATGTCCTACCAAGAATGAAGAAATACTGGGATTCAAATATCGTGCTTTTGGAACATCCACTCCTACCAATATCTCTTCATAGCTTTACATATATATTTTTTGGAAGAAAAAACAAGTCTGTGTTTGTGAGTTAGTATACATACATAGATATGCATTATGCATGGTAAGCCCTATATTAGCGTTTGCTGGTGGCTTTGGGAGGCTAAGGCCAGGCCCAGTGGCCCCGGGCATCCCTGGCCCCTGCCACCTCACTTCCCTGTAGGGGAGTCCCCTCCTCACACCCAGCTTTTGAGGCACAGGTTCTCCTGCTTGCCAGAAGAGGGAGCCCTTGGCAAGGTCCTAGAGTTAGGGAAGTGGTGGAGGAGGTCTGTGTTCTGTTCTCAGGGGCCTTAAAATTTTAGCTTGAAACGTCATGCATTGGCATCTGGTCCTTAGGCACAGGTCATGGACCGTCGAGGTCCTCTAACCTTGGTCATCAAACTATCTGACTTAGGAGGTCAACCGACTACCCCCCCTCACTGCCCAAGTGCCAAAGCCGAGGCCTAGGGAAGGGCAGTGATCAGTGGCACTGCTGGATCCCCTTGGTCTCCTGGTGATCACATGGCATTCCAGAGAGCCCCTTGGCTCCCCAGCCCTAGCGCTGCATTGGCCTGCCTCCCAGTGTCTCAGGGACTGCTATGCATACTCATTGAACCCCCCACCCCCACCCTTCTGTTCTTTGCCCCCCTAGGTGACAAATGTGGATGACGAGGGGGTGGAGCTGGGCTCCGGAGTCATGGAGCTGACACAGAGTGAGCTCGTCCTGCACCTGCATCGGCGCGAGGCTGTCCGCTGGCCCTACCTCTGCCTGCGGCGTTATGGCTACGACTCCAACCTCTTCTCCTTTGAGAGTGGCCGCCGGTGTCAGACGGGCCAGGGTGAGTATGGCTCCTGCTGCACACCAGGAGAGGGGTTTGTGCCCCAGGGCAAGTACTGGGGCAGGAAGTCAGAGCTCAGGGGGCTGTGGGGAAGCCTGCTGACCTGGTGGGTATTACCCAGAGAAGGGAAGGGTGATGGCCAAGAGCGCATAGCGTGTTCAAAAGAAACTAAGTGGACTCCCAGGCCAGTGCTCTTTCTCCTCAGTCATTGGGATTCCAGCCTGGGTCCTTTTGTGGGGGCATTTATTGCATAGCCCGTGGGAGAGAGCCAGTGCTCCCAGGCCAGAACCTGTCTGGGTAAGCAAGTGATTTCTCCTGCCTCTGTACCCTAGTTTGAGGGTACCCCTTGTCTCCTATGTAGAAACAAATTTTCTTCTGAGCCCCCAGGTCATAGACCCTGGAGCCCATGAATAACGAAGGGTCAGGCTGGAGGCTCTAGTTACCTTGGTGTTGCGTGGCTTGGGAATGCTAGGCTTGGCGAGGTCAGACTCGGGTCTCTGATGTACTGAGTAACCACCCGGAGGTTAATATTTGTCTCCTGTCGCCTGGAGTGTGATGTTTTCTCCCTTCCTCCCCTTTTTCCCTGCAGTCAAGGGTCAGAGAACGGTGATCCTTCAATGAAGTCAAGGCTAGAGCCTGCCATGGCTCTTTGAAGGAGTAGCATTGTCGGGGCTTATCTCTTAGGACCCAGACCCAAGCTCTGGGTTTCTGGAAAGAGCCCAGGCCAGGCTTGCATTAGGTGCAGTTAGGGTTGTGACTGTGGAGGTGGGATGAACAGGCTCCCCTGATGAGGCCACTGTCCACAGCAGCGAGTCTCTAATGTTCTGGGAGCCTTCCCCTCCATGCATCTTCCTCTTTGGGCTTCCGAAGCAGGGGTGCTTACGTTGGCTGAACAGAAAGAAGACAGGAAGGGACTTCTTGTCATGTATTTCATCTGCACTTGGGATTCCAGAGGGACTGCCCTAGGCCCCCACACCGAGTTCTCCTCAAACTCCAGGCTTTCCTGGCTCCTAATATATCTTGCCAGCAAAGTCCTTTCCATCCCTTCCCCTCTATCCTTGCTGTCTCATTCCTGCAAATCTCATTTTTCATATGTCAGCCTGGTTTTATTGATCTCTGTTCTGGATATATGCGTGCGCATAGACCCCAAGTAGCCTCCCCTGAGCCTTGGGCCCTGCTGTTGCCAGGATGGGGTGTGCAGAAGCCCAACACCCCAGGAGTACCTTTGGATCCCTTGAATCACCCTCAGCCAAGTCCTGCTGTCCCTGGGACTCTGAGGTGCTGCATTGGGGTCTGAAGGGCCATAGGGCAGCCAATGAAGAGCAAATGATTGCCTGGCCACGTGTGTCTTGTAGTGAGTCTGCCATTCTTTCTTTCTGCACCAGAGTTTAAGTTCCATGAGGTCAGGGGCCTGTCCAGAGTAGACATTCCCTCTCTGGCTGGGTACTGGACTAAGTACAGTGAACGAACAATGAACAGGGAGAGACTCTCCTGCCTCAAAGAGCTTGGACATGGTTGTGCATCAAGCCAAGGGTTGGTGCCCTGGGTAGAGCCTCTTTTTCTGAGGAGCAAAGGGTGGTACGTGGAGGAGGATGGGGGCAGCATGTGAAGTGGTCACTCATTTAACACAGTAATGCCCCCACCTTGCCAGCAGAGGAGACCCCCAGTGGGTACCTGAAACCACAGATAATACCAAACCCATATATATTCTATATTTTCCAATACATGTGTGCCCGTGACACAGTTTAATAGGTTTAATATGCAAACGAGGCCCCGTAAGAGATTAACAACAATAACTAATAATAACGTAAAACAATTGTAACAATGTCATGTAATAAAAGTTACATGAATGTGGTCTGTTCTCTCTCAATGTGTCTTACGGTACTACACCACCCTTGTGATGACATGAGAGGATAACATGCCCACGTGATGAGAGGAAGTGAGGGGAATGACGTAGGCAGTGTGAGGTAGTGGTAGGCTCCTACTGATGTTCTGACATCAAAAGGAGGCTCATCTGCTTCTGGACCCCAGGTGCCTGGGGGTAACTGAACCCACAGAAAGCAAGACTGGATGAGGGGCAGTACTATCCTTTTCTGTTCAGATGTTGACTTCTCCCCTTACCTGTGTACCCCTCACTTGTGCACATGACTGAGCTGTGAGGAATACAGGTGAGGTAATAGATCTCTAGATGGTGGTAATGGATGAGGGGAGGGACAGGTGGGCCCAGTTCCTCCCTGAGCTCTCAGATCTTTGTGTTCGGGATGAGGGGCCCTCCCGCCCCCTCCAGGCCTGGGACAAGTTCAGAGGCATTCCCTGAGTGTTGTGCGTCTCTTCAACCTCCTTGGTCCTTGCCTGTTGGTACATGGTCAGAGGAGCCTCATTTTTTCCTTTCTTCCTTCAGGGATATTCGCCTTCAAGTGCTCCCGGGCCGAGGAAATTTTCAACCTGCTTCAGGATCTGATGCAGTGCAACAGCATCAATGTGATGGAAGAGCCGGTCATCATCACACGCAACAGCCACCCGGCCGAGCTCGGCCTCCCTCGGGCCCCCCAGCCTCCCAATGGTGAGGAGACCCCATCCTCAGCCTCCATGATTGTATACACAGGCCCAGTCCCTGCCAATGCGAGGCCTGGAGGCACAAGGCAGGCAGGCAGGCAGGCGGGGATGGCTGGGCCACCCAGCCAGGACAGTTGCCCGACATCCGATGACTCTTGGGGACAAGTAAGTCCTTGTCTGGGCCAATCAGGCGACTCAAGCTGCGGCTGGGGCGTTCTGGGCCTTGTAATGACGGATGGTCCGGGAGCAGACAGGAAGACACTGGGTTTCCATAGCAACAGCAGTCTGGAGCTAGTTTGCTTTCTTCTTTCTGTCTACTGGGTCATACCCGTCTACCTTTCCTGATTTGGTGTGGGCATCTTTGCCCATGCCTGTTTTCTGGAGAGGTTCCCACACCTTCCTCTGGTTTATTCAGTGGGTCCACACTGAGCCCCTCCTCGGTGTTCTACTCTTTGTGGGCTGGCCTGCGGCAGGGGGTGAGGACAGGTAAAAGATAGAAGAATGCAGCCTCTGATGTTGGGGAGTTTCCCCAGAGCTCACTGGCAGAGCTAGAATGACGTGAAGGGACAGTTCAGTGACGACAAGGTGACCCTCAGTGTTTCAGCTGAGGTTGGACTGGGGGAAGTGGGGCTCACCATGAGCGTTGAGGGAGGGGGTGGGATTAGAGAACAGAGGTGGAAGATGATGGGGGGCTGTCGGTTAAATGGGGCCCACCGTCCTGGGGGCCCTGGGAATGTTTCCCCTCAGGTTGGAGGACTCCCAGGAAGCCACATGCTCAGCCGCAGGTGGTTGTCAGGCGGTGTAAGGACCCCCACTGCCCACATGGGCTTGTCTCCTATGTGTCCAGCTCTAGGCTACACTGTCTCCAGCTTCTCCAATGGCTTCCTTGGCTGCCCAGGAGAGGGCCCGAGATTCTCAGCACCCCGGCGCCCTTCGACGAGTAGCCTGCGACACCCCTCGCTTGGGGAAGAGTCCACTCATGCCCTCATTGCTCCTGATGAGCAGGTGAGCAAGCAGCTGCCCTGCTCCTCCCCATTGGCCTGGGTGGAGATGGGCCATCAGGAAACAGGGCACCTCCTAGGGATCATGAGCAGGGAAGAGAATTGATAGGGTCCCTTACTGTCCAGAAAAGGGATGCAGCTTCCCTGGGAAGTTTGGAGGATGTGGAAGAGGTGGAAACTCCAGCTCTTTTCTCCATATTTCTCTTACCCTGTCCCTTCTGCTCTCTCCTTTCTCCCTGCTCTTGGGCTCTCCTGCTTCACCTGGACTCCTTCCCCCAGTCCCACACCTATGTCAACACGCCAGCCAGTGAGGATGACCACCACAGGAGCCGGCATTGCCTGCAGCCCCTGCCCGAGGGCCAGGTGCCCTTTCCCCCACAGGCCCGGGGCCCCGACCCCCATGACCCCCAGGTGTTCTTGCAGCCGGGCCAGGTGAAGTTCGTGTTGGGCCCAACCCCGGCTCGGCGGCACATGATGAAGTGCCAGGGCCTCTGCCCCAGCCTGCATGATACCCCCCCCCACCACAACAACAACAACGAGGGCCCTTCTGAGTGCCCGGCCCAGCCCAAGTGCACCTATGAGAACGTCAGTGCGGGGCTGCGGCCAGGGGCAGGCTGGAGACTGAGCACGGAGGAGCCAGGCTGGAATGGCCTTGCCCACCGCCGGGCGGCCCTGCTACACTACGAAAACCTGCCCTCCCTGCCCCCTGTGTGGGAGAGCCACACCCAGCGGCTGGGGGAGGAGGCTGGGGATGACGGAGACTCAAGGGATGGGCTCACTCCGTCCTCCAACGGCTTCCCTGATGGTGAGGAGGACGAGACCCCGCTCCAGAAGCCCACCAGCACCCGGGCTGCCCTCCGTAGCCATGGCAGCTTCCCTGTGCCACTGAGCCGCCGCCGAGGCTCCCCGAGAGTCTTCAACTTTGATTTCCGCCGGCCGGGCCCTGAGCCCCCCAGGCAGCTCAACTACATCCAGGTGGAGCTGAAGGGCTGGGGTGGAGACCGCCCCAAGGGGCCCCAGAACCCCTCGGCTCCCCGCGCCCCTGTGCCCACCACCCACCCCACCCGCAGCTCAGACTCCTACGCCGTGATTGACCTCAAAAAGACCGTGGCCATGTCCAACCTGCAGAGGGCGCTGCCCCGAGACGATGGCACTGCCAGGAAAACCCGGCACAACAGCACCGACTTGCCTCTGTAGGGACGTCCTTCCTCCCGCTCTGCCTCATGCTCCTGTCCCCCGAACCCACACCCCGGGTTCCAGGCTGCTTTGCAGAAGGGCACTGAGGTGGAACCAGATGCTTCCCTCTGCTGGCTGGTTCCCCCAAGACACCAGCCACTAAGTCTCCTGGTCTCCAAGTTGGGGAGAGAGGAAGGGTGACCAGGCGAGGAGGGAGCCATGATGTAAACTGTGAAGGGTTCCTCCGATGCATCTAGCACCCTCCCGTTACGTCCATTTGTCTTATCTGTCGTCTGTGTGTTTTCTTTGGTTGAAATTTTGAAACATTTTGTACCTGTTGATTTTATTTATCAGTTTATTTTTCTATTTATTGTTTTAAATGTAATTTAACATATTTATTATTAATATAATTATTTTTAAATTCTGGCTGGGTGAATGATGTCAGATTCTTACGGAGTCTTTTCTGGCATGGTTCCGGCTGGGAGTAGGGGAGGCCTCGTAGACAGAGGGGCTTCATTCTGGGAAATTTGGGGTGGTTGTGGCTTTTGTGACAGGTCTGCGACCATTTCTTTTTCTCCTCCAAGAAGCCCTGTCCCAGAACTTGAAGTTGCCAGGGATGGATGTGCTACCAAAGGATAGCTGGAGTCCTGGATGCAGAAAGGGGATCTGGAAGGAAATCTGCTTTAATGGGAACACCCTGACCCTCCTGAGTTGGTGGGGGAGGGCAGGGGTTGGGGAGTGGGGGGGCGGAGGCTGTACCAGCTTTACCTTCTCTGGGACCCCTTACTGATTTCCCTTCTGCCACTAGGCGGGTCCGAGGGGTACTGATCTCCTTTAAGACTTTGGCCCAGAGGTGGACCCTGGATCCTCCTTTGGCACCCGCAGCATGGCTAGATCAAGGCTAGAACCTTTAAACAGGACTTTGCTAAAAGCCCAGGAATAGCAAAAGGAAAAAACACAGTGTAATATATAACCCACTAATCAGGCTTGCTTAGTTATTTTCCTAGAGAACCGCTCCCCAGGAATGGACACTTTGGGGTTCCTCTGCCCTACCACAGGGGTCAGCCCTGGCAGAGGCTCCACATCTGGACACCTGCCTGGAAGCCTGGGGCCTGCAGGGCACTGCATAAACCCCCTGCCTGGTGCATTGTTGCAGGAGCTCCCTTTACTTATCTTGAGGCCGCTGCCGCCGCCTCCTCTTGCCGGCCTCCCTGCCTCCAAGACTCCCATTTCTATCTCAGCCCCCTGAATGGTTAATTTAAAGGAAATCCAGCATCTGCGATAAGCCACTGGGGGCCTCAGGAGTGGGAGCAAGGTTTGCCCAAGACAGGGACAAACCTTGTCCCCGGTCATGTTTGTGCCCCAGCTCCCTGCCCTGGGGAGCAAGCACACCTGTCCTCCTGACTAAGGAAACCAGCCAAGGTGAGGCCTACCCTGTTCCCTCCCCATCTGCTGTCCAGAACAACACTGCCAGGCTTCAATTCCGGGACTGCTCTCTCCCCTGGGTGGGGATCGAACTATCTTCCAGATTTCTCCACCCTTGGATGTCACTCTCTTGTCAGTGAAATGGGTGAAGAGAGCACTGGCCACAGCAGGGTGTGAGAAGCCCTTCACCTGGGGCCCAGGAGGGGCCCTGGGTACAGCAGGTGCTACTGTGGCAGAGCTGGCACCAGACCCTTCCTTCTACCTCCTTCTGATCTCTGGACGAGAGGGATGACTGCTCCAGGCTGGGAAGTGTTTCCACCTTGCAGTAGGGGGTGACCTCCTCTCTGCAGCCCACCCAGGCAACTCCGCTCTGCTTTCTCCCTGTCCTCCCCACACTAGTCCTGCTCCTCCTTTGGGGGCTCCTAGTCAGGAGTGCTAGTCTCTCCAAATAGGAGACCCACGACGGGAAAGGTACAGCCATGCTGGGACAGGCCTAGGGGCCCTGGCCATGCCAGTGGCTCACAGGTCGGCTTGGGCCCCTCCTCACGGACAATGGCAGGGGATCCATGCTTGAGTCAAGAGACGGGATTCTGAATCTGACTCGGCTATTATCTATGGTCCCTTGAGCAACGGCTCACTCCCAGTCAGCCTCAGCTTTTGTACCTAGAAAACACGGAGCTGACTGGGAAAAGTAGCCAATGAGATGACGAACATGACACCACTTTGGAAAGTAGACAGTGGGCAAACAACCCAGCTGTTCCATAGGGCGTCTGGGGGGCTCAGTGGTTGAGCATCTACCTTTGGCTCAGGTCATGATCCCGGGGTCCTGAGATCGAGTCCTACATTGAGCTCCCCACAGGGAGCCTGCTTCTCCCTCTGCCTCTCTCCGTGTCCCTCATGAGTAAATAAATAAAATCTTTTGAAAAATAAAAGCTGTTCCAGAGGAAGAAACTCCTGGAAGTCACATGTCTCGTTCCCAAGACCCCAGGCCCACTACTGCACCCCTGCTGAAAGGCACAAGGGATGGCCAGCCTCCTCTGGGGTAGTCCCAGACCAAGTCCTAGTAGCTTCCAGGCACATAATTGTGGAGCCTGGGGACTTCCAGAAGATTTAGCCCAATGTGGCTGCCAGCCTTCCTGCTCCCCTCCCCAGGTCATTGCCTCTGCCCCAAGAGTTCAACTGCAGGAATTTCCCAGTGGCAGGGTGGATGGGGTGTGAGCAGACAGCTGGATCTCCAGGCGGGAAGTGGAGGGTGGGAGTGAGGCCCAGGAGGGCGACCACTGCTCCCTCAGGGAGCCTGCCCTACTGATGTCAGGGTGTGGTGTCCTGATGGAATCATTTCAAAGATCCTCACCAACATCAGTGAATGTTTGCTGAGTGCTCAGTTCCCTGCTTTAGAAACAGGCCCTACCCACCCCCCTGGGCTGCCCTCAGGAAAGGATGGGAGCCAGCATCCTGTCTGGGAGTGACATTTCAGGTCAGACCAGGAGGGGCCCTCCCCAAGCCCACCCCTGGGTAATAATAGCAGTCTACAATGGTATAAACACTGTCTGCTTTCCATAGGGCCCTCTCCACCATTTATCTCTCCTGGGCTTGCTGGGCTGGATTGTTATCACCACTGTGCAGAGGAGGAAACAGGCCAAGAGGTAAAGTGACTTGCTTTAGGGCGTGAAGGTAATTAGTGGCTTGAGCCTGGGCTGCATGCCAGGCGTGTGTCTTTCCATGCTTCCACCTGACCCGAAGGGGCTTAGAGCCCTTGGGTGGGCTGCAGAAAGAGTGGCAGGAGCTCTGGCCTGTAAGATTGGGCCTGCAGAGGCCACGTTCCAGGGCTTCTACTGAGGAATCCTTGTGAATTCCCAGCCGGGGCCTTGCCTGATGCACAGGTGAATGCGCTCCCCCCAGAGCCTGCCCCCTTTGCTTTTTTTTTTTTAAAGTTTTCTTTTTTAATTTGAGTATAGTTAACCCACAAGTTATGTTAGTTTCGGTGTACAACTTAGTGATTTGACAGGTTTCTACATTATACCATGCTCGCAGGTGTAGCTGCCGTCTGTCAAGTGGCTGTTACAGTATCATCAACGGTATCCCTAAGCTGTGCCTTTTAACCCTGTGACTTATTCACTCCATGACCAGAAGTCTGTATCTCCCACTCCCCTGCACCCCTTTTGTCCACCCCACCCCCAGCCACTCTCCACTGACAACCATCAATTTGTTCTCTGTATTTACTGGTCACATTCTGCTTTTTGTTTGTTTATTCACTTTTTTAAGATTCCACTTATGAGTGAAACTGTATGGTATTTGTCTTTCTCGGCCTGACTTAGTTCACCAAGCGTGATGTCCTCTAGGCCCATCCATGTTGTCACAAATGGCAGGATTGCATCTTTTTAATGGCTGTATCATATTCCATTGTGCAGACCACATTTTCCTTATCCATTCATCTATTGAAGAACACTTAGGTGGGCCCCTTTGCTCCTGCAGTGTCTCGGAATGGCTCCGGTTCTGTAGATGGCCTGTAGAGGGCCGCAGGAACCGGCCCAACCCCACCTGGCCCCGCCCCCCTCTCCTGACAGGTGTCTGGGCCTCACAGGAAGGTTCCTCTGGTCAGGTTAGGGCTTCTCTGAGCTCTGGGGTGCGCTCAGACCAATACCGTAAAGGGGAATCATGCTTGCAGGTGCAGGGGCTTTTTTTCTTTAAGAGAGAGAGAGAGAGAGAGAGAGAGAGGCAGAGACACAGGCAGGGAGCCCGATGTGGGACTCGATCCCAAGTCTCCAGGATCACACCCCGGGCTGCAGGCGGCGCTAAACTGCTGCACCACCGGGGCTGCCCAGGCAGGGATTTTTATAATGAGGGACCCTTGGACTCCAGAGAGGAGGCTAAAGGGAAAGGAGAGCTGAGGCAGAGGTGGGGGCCCTGCGGGGAGCCCCCGGGGCTCTGCATCTGTGGAATCAGAGTCCAGGATACAATCTCGTAGCTCAGCTGAGCTAAGAGCCATCCAGTGATCCTTTTGACTGGATTCTTGGAGATGTCTATCAGGTCTTTGCTCACATGCTTCCCAGGAGGGGGAGATGGCTATCTCAAAAGTCCTCCCTCCAATCAGTGTTATGATGTCCATAAATGCCTCTCATTAGGGCCTAATTCTGCCCACAGATCCACATGTGGCTGTCTTGTCCCTCTGCCAAGGATGCTGAACTTTGAAACTTGGCGCCACCACTTACTCACACCTGGACTCCTCTGTGCTTCCGTTTCCTCACCTGTGACAGAGGAATGATAACATCCCTCTCTCATGAAATCGTGGTGAGGATCAAAATAAGAGAATGTCTGCCAAGCACGAACCATGGCAGCTGGCCCATAGTAAGTGCTCAGTAAATGGCAGATGTTTTCACCAGAACACGGTTCTTTCTGACATAACGGTTCTGGATGTAGTTGGGTCTGTCCTTTAGAGAACAGCTTTAGAGGCTCCAGCTCTTGCCACGAACACAGAGATGACAGGACAGCATGGCTGGGGACTGGGGGCATCAGAAAGAATTGTTCAGGAGGGGATTCTCTATGGGCCATAGAGCATGAGTTTTGCTGCATCACTGGGTCCTTCACCCTAGCCCTTCTAGAAGCTGTAGTATGCCTGCTGTGGTTGGCAGGAAGCCTTCCTGCCACTTGCCTTCCTTGCTTTCTGGGCCCAGTGAGAATGCCCCTTGAGTGAGAAGGCCCAAGAAGGAATGCAGCTGGGGCAAGATGTGGGGAAGTTGGAGACTGACCCTTTGGGGAAGGGAATGAGATGCGGTGCAACTCTCCTTTTGCCTGGGTGCTGCTTGGGTGGGGGAGAGTCGGGCAGCCAAGTCTCGGGAGGGCTTGGAAGGAGATGGGAGCCTGGGTGGGAAGAGTGGAGGTAATGGGGCACAGGGCTGGGTGGGGACGGGGAAGAGTTTCCGGGTGTTCTTTGAGGCTCTTTGCATCTCTGGCCCATCGGGTTGGTTCTGACCTCTTTCCTACTGAGCTCCA